GGCATGAGCTCTCAGGAGTAGGGCACACTTGGGTAGAAGTTCTGAGCATGTGGTTTATGGGGAGATGGGACTGATGTGAAGACCTACACACATGGTATGGAAAGGTCAAGTTTGGAAAGCTGAGAAGCAAAAGAGAAGGCAAAAGGGTTTACAGGGTTTCTGGAGCTGCAGGAGGCAGTTCATTCACTGATAAGTTAAAGAAGGTTTGGAAGCAACTTGGACAAGACAGAGATACTGGGAGTGAAGGTGGGACTTTGTTCAGGAAGATGGAAAGAGATAGCACTGAGTAGAATCTGAAGGAGAAGATTCACTGCATGGACTGCCTGAGTTTCAGGTGAAACATCTTTTTTATTATTATTATTATTGAAAATATTTTTCCTTCTTTTTTTTTTTTTTTTTTGGTGGTACTAGGGTTTGAACTCAGGGCCACATGCTAACTATGCAGGCATTCAACCATTTGAGCCACTCTGCCATCCCTTCAGGTGAAACATCATAACTGCAGACACTTACATGGCACTTATTCCATCACATCACTATTCTGAATAAATCATTAGGAAAGAATATTTCAAATTAAGAACCTAGACTTAGACCAGAGAGGACCATGAGAACCAAGAATGTAGGACGGTGGTCAAACCATTCCAAAGAATCAACATACTGGATGGCACACCTGTTTAAAAATAGCAACTTGGCTCTCTATCTTGGGTTTGTACTTTATGGCTGGCAAGAGCTGACTGTGTGCATCTCTTCCCAAACCTGTTCAGTAGCACGTGTTGGCAGTTTGAAATGAGCTACAGTAGGAAGATTTATATCTTGGAAATTGGCAAATGTTACAACTCAGGGCTCTCCCGTTCTTCTCACCCCCTAGAGCCATTTGCCAGCACATCAGTTTAGAAGTACAGCATATTTATGGGGTACTGCTTAACTTACTTAGTGAACCCACTCAACAAGTCATTCAGCATCTACTTAGTCTAAGCTGTTGACTCTAAAAGATGTGTAAGGTGCTGGGGACAAAACAATGAGCAAGACAGGCACAGACCTTGTCCTCATGGAGGATAAGTGAGGGAATAGAAATAATGCAAACCCAAATGTTAACCCAATTAATTCAATTGTGAGTAATGCCACCAAGGAGAAATACAGTGTATAGGGTGATATCTCCCTCTTCACCTGATCCTGCAGCTTGATTCTCTAGCATTTTTAGTGAAAAAGCAGAGAGCAACTGCCCTGGCTATTTTCTCACTGCACACACCTCCAGCCAGCATTTCCTTATCAATAATACGTAACTTCTCCAGCGCTGCTGGGTGGCGACTTCCTGGGCTCCGAGAGAGGTTCTGGCAGCCTTAGGGGAGCGAACCAATACCTTAGCAGAGCAGTCTCTGCAAAGCCGCCCTCTTCCTCCCCCACTTGCACCTGGCCAGCCTAGCTCCCTGCCACTCTTCTGATCCCCAGGACATCACGGTTTCCATGGGAACCCACTCACTTCAAAGGGGAAGGAAGGAGACTGGAGGGGAGGAGGGAGAGTGAAAGTTGGATTAGCCTCACCCTTCTGGTCCTGTCTCTGCAATGCAACCTAATCCCCAGGTCTCAAGCAGCACCTGACACCTGACCACCAACAACATGGGTAGGTGGGGTGTTGTGGTCCAAGTTAAATTTGAACTTCTTTGGAAGAAAACATAGGGTTGTGGTGGGGTTGGTAAAGGAGAGAACTAAACATGGTCCAAACCTAAGGCCCCCCATTCCACTGGCCTCCCCTCCTTGGACTCTTCTCATCATTGCTCCTGGGCCACAATTACCCGGGATGTGCATCCAATCATGGGATCTGCTCGGATTAGACTTTAATCATTAATCTGAGCAGGAGCTCCTGGTTGCCTTGCTGATTAGCCCAGATGATGCTCTGGTATGATCCAATTAAAGACGGGCTTTGCTTTTCCCGACCCCCAGCTTCCACACCAGAAGGAAACCAATACATTTCATTAACACATCCTCATACACAAATAAAACCTCTGGGACACTGGCAGGCTCCCTCCCCCTTTGTCATACTGCCCCTCTGCCTTCCAGAAGGGGCAGAGAGGAGCCTCTCTCATCTTCCTTCATCTGGGGTTCTGGGAGGAGCCCTGGTGGGAGCTTCTAAAAAGCCAGTGCTGGGCACTAATCTGAATGGAAAGGGTCTTGTTACATTTATTGACATGAAATGCAGACTCCCTGATGAGCTGTGGAGCAACCAGGCTGCCCCAGGCACGCAAATCTAATTAAAATTACCGAACCCAAGAGGAGGCCAGTCACCCAGGCAATGGCTACAGAGAGGGTGGTTGGTACTAATGGGAGAGGTGTGGTTGTGGGAGATAACTTGGAGGCACTGGGCCAGGAGGCAGAAGGACTGGAGGGCTGGGGAGCTGACTAATGGTGTGGGGGTCAGCTCCAGCGGCCTGGGAGTGCCTCTACAGCATCAGATGCCTAAATAAGGGCTGTGGGATTGTCAGTCTCTTAGGAGAAGGTAAAGCTCAGGAGTGAGGTGAGCAGAAAGAAGTGTTAGTTGAAGGAAAGTCTGGGCCATACTTCAAGTGACATCATGGTGGACAGCTCCCATGGGACAGTGACCCACCTCTCCTACAGCTTAGCCTGAGCCTGGGGTCTTGGGAAGGACTTTGGAGCCAATGGAACCCACTGGTAGAACCAAGGAAACCCACAACTTTGTGACAGATGCGGTGCCTGTGATTACATGGGCTGTCTCATTAATTGTTACCAAATCTACCACTTTGGTTCTATCATGAAACAAAAATTCAGAGAGACTAACACTCAGCAGAGGTAAGACTCAAGCCTAGGTGTCCACAAACTTTCTGTTCCACCTCTAATTAGAGGGTCTCTCTAGACCATGATCCATTCATATTCACTACTGGCCTCTACACCCAGGGGTCTGAGAAGATGCATAGGACCAGAAGATGCTAGGGCATGCATGAGAATCACCTGGGACCTTGTGAAGTGCCGCTCATGAATCCTGAGGTCTGGGTGGGCCCTAAGATTCTTCATTTCTAATCAGCTCCCACATGACAGGATGCTGTTGGTCCAAGGATCACACTTTGAATAGCAACCATATAAATAGAGGATGATGAATACACCACAAGTCATCAGGCCATTGGGCAGTTTTCAGAGGCCACTGTACTCCCATCTCCCTTCTTAGGTTACTCACAAAAGCACACGCTCACCAGGTATTGCCCAGCTTAATTTACAGGTGGCTGTGCAACCCCACCTCCCCACACCCAGATGCTCTGACCACCAGCCATTCCTGAAACACACCAGGTTCCACTATGACTGAAGGGTCTTATTTCACCTAATTTCTCCACCTGGTGAGATCTCTTTGTCTATAAGATCATATTCAAATATTGCCTCCTCAGGAAGGCTGCCCTGTTGTCCTAACCACATAGAGTTGGTTTCTTATTTGCTTATCTATTGGTTCCTGGAGAGAAAAAGGGAAGTTCATGCATCTACCTTCCTATCTCACCCCCTTTCCCTAGAGTCCAGCACAGGACCTGCAATATTATAATAGTAAGGGTTCAATAGAAGAGTGTGAAGGAGGGAGGGGAGAGAGGACAGGTGGGCATGTCCTACACTGGGGAGCCCGGATCATACTCTCCAAGGGTATCAGTGACTCTGAGCCTGCAGGCATCTGGGCCTGGCCTGTGCATTGCACAGGTGTGTGTATGTGTGTGTGTGTGTGTGTGTGTGTGTGAGAGAGAGAGAGAGAGAGAGAGAGAGAGAGAGAGAGAGAGAGAAATAATAAGAGAGAGAGAGATAGGGGGGTGAAGGAGGATTGGGGGTGCTGGTACTGTGTTTTATCTTTCTGCAGAGCCTAGAAGGACCATAGATCATACCACTGCTCTGGACTTTCACCTGTTGACATTAGAGGCATTCTGCTCATCTGAGTAACTAAAAATCATGCCACAGATAACGATAATAACAGTACTAATTACCACCATTATCATTGTCACTGGGGGAGGAGAAGGAGTAAGGAAGGAACCAATCTTCCTATACATTTGTCTTGGGGACATCATTCTACATGTTACTGACATTAGCTGCAATATATGCCCAGTCAGGATAGGCTGTGCTTGCTGACTCACGGGAACGTAGGAGCTTACAAATATGAGCAAGGGTCTGGCATCAATACAGTACAGTATTGATGGAGCCTCATTCAGGCCTGTTCTCAGGGGACTGCATCCTCTTCCCCAACCATGCACACAAGAATTAGAGTACATCAAGGCAGACAGGCCTCGATGAGACTCATCCATTCCTCTGCAACATTCAGGACTCAACCCTGAGTGAATGGAGCAGACACAGAACAAGATGAACAATTGCCTGCTGCCAGCAAACTCCCCATCTTGGGGGAGAGTGCTAGTACCTACAACACCTAAAACACAAAGACCACCATGAATCAAAGTGTAGTTCAAAGACTTGGAATGCTTTTTAAAAAGTTCACCTCTCTCTGTCTACATTGACCTATTGACTTAGCATCTTTGAGCATGGAATCTAGGACTTGGAGTCCCACCTGAGAGTCCTTAGGCTCCCTCTGTGATTTGGATACATACAATGTGTTTGTGCTGCCATGTCGTGGATGGTACAACCAGATGTCCAGTGCTCTGGTGGGCTTGTTGGAGTAAAGGCAAGAGGGGGCAGGGCAAGGAGAGGGTCCTGAGGCAGATACCTGTTGACTGAGCATATCTGAGGTTCATTAGGCCTCATCCCCCCAATTGAGATGGGAACAGGGTCCTTATAGAGATAGGGCCCTGGCCTCCATATCCCTCATAGATACTTCCAGGGAGTTATAATCAACCCACAGTGCCTAGCTGGAGAATTTCTTGATTGATGAGAGAGAGGAAGGCTGAGGAGAGCAGCTGCTGGCCACCCAGTTGCTGATGAGCCCACCGTCTACCCTACATTCTCTTCTCTCACAGTGGAGCTGGGCCTGACACTGTCTGGTGGCTTTTAAGCATGGCTTGAGAGTCTCCTACCTGTACACAGCTCGCTTGTCAGCCTCCAGCTGGGCCTGGGGGTCAATAGGGGCACTGGGTACAGGTGTGCTGGCGGTAGCCGAGGGTGCGGAGATGTGGACAGCCTGGGCCTTAGAGGGTGGCTGGGCAGTTGCCGTCATCTACAGAGGGAAGAAAAGGGAGGTGACAGGTTAGCTCAGCAGACTCCCATGCTGGAATGTGAGGTCTTTCCTTGGCCTGTGGTGTGCCTGGAAAAGAGAATGTGGGCAAGAGAATTGTGAATGCAGGATGAATGTCCACTTGTAGGTACGCTACAGTGGAAAGAAAAGCAGGCCTTTCTTCAAATGAGAATGTTCTAAAAAACAATCTAGGAGCCATCCTACATCAGGGGATGCCCAGCACAATTTGAAAGAGATGATTCTTAATGCAAATGTAGTGATCTTTGCCCAGAAGTAGAAAAACAATACCTTTTAGTTATGCTTATGAATCTCTTGGACAGTAATAAGTTTGATTTGATGACTTTGAAGATCAGGAAGAGAGTAGTTCAATCAGTTCTTGTTTGGGCAGAGGTTTATTTATTTCTTTTAATGCAAGCCAAGAGGTAATGCTTCTAATGGTTTTGATTGATGACTGAATGGGTCTCCAAATTTGTTTTACCTGGCTACTTGAAGATAAGGTTTTAATGGACAATGGAGAGATTTCTGTTCTTGGCCAGAACAAATATTTACAGAAGTGGTTTTCATACTGTGTTATAGGTTTTGGAAGGTGTCCTGAGGCCTCCAATTTTGTGCCAACCCGAGAAACTCCTTTTAATATTATATATTGGACTTTCTGTCTAAGGCTTTGTTGAAAGAAATGGTTCAGTAGCTTCAAATTTTTTGAAAACCATCATTATGGAATTTAATGCTTTTACATTATATATCCTTTAGTCAAACAGATCTCTAAAAGAGTGGATAGTGTCACACCTCCCTCTCTTCCATCACCCTAGCACCATGATGGCTCTTAATCACACTGTGTTGTTGGCCTGAACACACTTGTCTGTCTACTGCTCACTCCTGCATCTCTAGCACCTAAATGGACATATTTAATAAAGACAATTGATGCTTAACAAATACATTCATTGAGAAAATGAGTGAATGAATAAATGAATGAGTTGCCTTGAAGGAATCAGATATTTTACATCTGGGAAATTCATCATAGGATACAGGTCCTACTTTCTGGAAGAAAAAGTATTGTATTTCTGTGAGCACAAGCATTATTGCTGGTATGTATATCCCAAGGCATTTGCATGTCTTCTTCTCTTCACTTATATTTTCTCAGATGTACCCAGACCCTAAACCTCTTGCTTTATTTTCTGCATAGCCCTTACCATGACCGTATTATGTCTGTTTGCTTATTTATTTTCTCCCCACTTCTATTTAAAGCTTAAGCTTGAGGAGGACTCATAACAGTTGTAGTCCTAGGACCAGAAGAGTCTAGCACTAGTGAGAATTCAATAAATATTTATTGAGTCAATGAATTAATGAATGACAGGGGATGAATGAGATTGAGACTATAAAAGAAGTGTCTGTGTTCTTCTATGCTGTGTCATTTTTGTCAGGAAGAAACATCCTTTTTGCTGTTAGCTAATGTGGGGAAATGTTCCCAACTAGTAAGGGCTTTGGCAGTGCATCTTGCTGCCTGTAGCCAGCAGACAACTGCTTGAATCCTACTGTCTCTCTCTATTAGCCTCTGACCTTGGGCAAATCCTTTAACTTTCCTAAGCTCCTATTTTCTCATCAGCAAGCAAATTGGTGACCTTTTAGGATTCACAGATATTAAAGACCTGCTATAAGGAAACAGATAGAAGCAAATGTACCAGTTTTCAGAAGAGAAAGGAGGTGGATTCAGAGAAAATGAAATCCTCTTCACACTGATCTGGACTAAATTCACTCATCCATTAGCTTGCTAACACAACTGGCCATGTTTTCAAATGCTTCTTAAGTCCCTGCCATCTACCAAGAGGCCCTGTGCCTCAAACTCATGATCCTCCTGCCTCAGCCTCCCAAGTGCTGGGATTACAGATGTGCATCACCAAGACCAGCTTCAATTGGTGGATTTGCCATTGACTATTAAGCTGGCAGATCAGGAAATCATGGTGTTAATGACCTTGACAAGTTATCTCCCAAAATCCTTGGAAAACATGAGGAGACGTGGTCCAGTGGACAATTGCATGGATTAGTAAACCACACCTAACAGATAACAAAAATCAGATGTCATGGGCTACATGTTTCCTTTTTAGTCCTCTTCTTCAATACTTATCAAGAATTTAGAGAGTCTCCAAAGAAATGCTCAACAAATTTATGGATGACATAAAATTGGGATCCAAAGGATCTTCACAGATTTTAGAAATAGGCTAAACCTAATAAGATTAATTTTCATCTAATAAGTTAAAGTTGAACACTTCTAATATTTGGACCAAAAAAAAAATCAATAACGTTAGTGTACTACAAGGGACACATGGCTTAGCAACAGTGTTTTAGTTGACAGCTAGCTCAATCTATCCAAAGTGTAATATGTCTATCAAAAAGAAAAAAAAACCAGCTTCAAACTAATGCTGTGTAAGGATGCTTTAACAGAAGCAAAGCTCATGGAATAGGAGGCTTATGAACCTGCTGTACTTTGATTGAACATGAATAGGAAAGCACATTCAGTGGAGTGGACTAGGATACTATAGAATCCCATCACAATCCTGGTCCTCATACATTATATGAGGACTACTGGAAGGATCCTGGAAGGTACAAGCAAAACTCGAAAAGTCTGAATGAGGGGATTAAATTAGATCAGTCCTATTTTATGTACCCCACAGGACCAAACTATAGTGCATTAAATCTATAATGAGGAGTTAATTTATGCAATACATTTCCAAGCCCTTGACTCTCCAAGGCTGGAGTCAGCTGCCTCCAGGTGTGTCCCCTGAGGAAGTGATGGGAGCTTTGGCTGGATGGCCAGGTTAGGTGACATCAAAAGTTCCCTCCAACACTGACAGGCTTGGATGCAATGAGGGTGCTTTAACTCACCAGACACAGCACTGAGCTGGCCAGAGGCTCAGTTAGGGTAATGCATAATATGTAAAACTCAGTAGTGCTTCCCAGATGGAGGGCTGTTGATATTATTAAACATGAAATCTCCAAAATGTACTACTGTCGTAAAGCAAGGCACTGCTATGTCCATACAACTTGTTTGAAAGTGAACTGTCAGTGGAGTGGCACCGTCTGCTATGCCCACTAAATGAATTCTACAGAGGCTTCCACTAAAATGATCTTCTAGAATACAAAGGAAGGAGGCAGGTGATCCTTTACCTCTCAGCTGCTCCTTCCCAGGCAGGACTTTGGGGAAAGGTGGGAGGAAAGTCCTGCTGGGCTAATGAGGAATGCATAGGAGGAAAAAAAATGTAAATCAAAAGTGCTCACTTGCACGCATCCCAAGGGGCCCCACCTAGAGGCTGGGAGGAGGGGAGAAGAGCAGAGCAGGTCTGAGGAGGATGATGACTCAAATTTATATAGCTCGTGGGGACCAATTCAGCAAACTCTGCATTTCTTCTAGGTTTGGAGGATGAATCTGTACTTCCAAATAGGTTTCTTTTTCTAGCCAGAGACCTCTATTTCTCAAGAATTAGAGCTCTGAGGAACAGGACCTGTGGCTGTCTATAGGGTCTTGGGGACTTACAGGGGGATGGGGATACCTGGAGGTCAGTTTTGGGGATAGCATAGCCAGAACAGTGGGAACAGGGAGAGAACTTGGATGTACCAGGGCTGGGCATGGCCTTATGGAGCTGCCTTGTTCTGGCCTGTGAATACCAATTGTTAAAATGTTCAGGAATTTTGCAAGCTGGTTGGTGGCACATGGGTATCTTGAAATTGGCTATGGTGGGAACATTTACACCAAGAAAACTGGCAAATGGTATAAACTAGGCCTCCCTGCCCTCTCCATTTCCACCCTCAGAGAGCCAATTGTTAGCTATTTACTGGCACACCACTGCTCTCAGTGTTCTCCCAGCTGATTTTCTTCCATTCTCTTTGGTCTGAGATGGAAGAAACTGGCCTGATACAATGCATGAAGCCACTTATTTCATTCCCATCTGGTCTCAGAGCTGGCTACTCCAGATTCCGAACTTTCCTTTAAGGAAAGCTGCTTTAGAGGCTCACCTGGGACAGGGTAGGAATACTACAGACATGTAGGACTATCCCTTTTCAAGGAGAGGAAGCTAGGGCCCAGAAGAGAAGAAGCAGAGTTCACTTCTCAGCACATGTTCTTAATCTTCATTTAGTTCACATTGTTCTCACTGTTGGTCCCAGCTTTTCCCTGTCCCCAAGCCTCACATACACAGTTAAAGTCAATTCCCCCCAACAAGAATGGTTCCAGGAATGCCTCATCCATGCAGAATCCAAGAAGGAAGGCACAAAGGGTTTATTAACCCAAGGGTGCCCACTGCTAAGCTGACATCCCATGTGGAGGCTATGGAGAAGCCTGAAGATCTAGGGCCCAGGAAGAAAGAGGATTGTTTTGACAGTGAGAGGCCTCAAGCATTCAGGTGCTCAAGCTCTGAATTGCAATCAGTTGTTTCCTCTGCTTGGCATTCCTCTCTGCTGCTCACAGGAGGTGGGAACAGGTGACTCAGAATGAGGAACAATACCAAAGTTGTTTTGTGGCATGCGAGGGAGGCCTCCTGTGTGAGTAAGAGCAGAGGTGTTGGCACTGGTTAAAAAGTAGTTTTGAATCCTGTCCTTGCCATTGACTGCTGGGCAACTTGTACGCGAAATTTTACCTTCTGGGGGTTCAAGGGAGATAGCGACGATACCCCTGCTGTGAGGATGGCTGTTCCTTTGGTGGAGAATCTGGCATGGGCAGGTCCCTCTGCTCTGTGCTTCTGTGGCCTAGGCACACAGCTCCACTGGCCTGCTTGCTTGCCTCTCTCCCCGACTAGCCTGGAGGATCTTGAGGGCAGGGTCCAGGTCTTGGGTTTACTGTTGTAGCCTCAGTACCCGATGCAGAGAATACCCCAAAAATTTATGGAATGTGAGAATGACTGGCACAGAGTAGGTAGGACTTCCCATTGGATGCTACCTTTCTAATCATGGGTTTACCTTCCTGACCCTGAATGCATCAGGCCACAAGAGAA